CGTGAATTCTCTTTTATTTTGCACATCATGCTTAAATTAAGATGACTAAACTAATTATGTCAACTGAATAAATTATCAATATTGATAAAGTTCAGATTTACACCATGACGTGTGCAATAATTAATAAACTCCAAGTTTATTATGATATGGGTTTTTATATCAATAAACATTCACTTTACTGTGGTATTCTTTTATTTGTGTAGTACAAACTGGAGAATAAAGCGGGTAATTTTTCACATACATATTACCCTGCTACAAGTTGTAGTAATAGAAGATATTTAATCTTTCCTTTATTTATAGTCTCAATATAACCAACCGCTTTCGCGAATACTTTAGAAACTCAATAAGTTTCTTTGAGACTTACTATAGCATCATACCTTATTGATAATTAATTTTATTTCTCCAAAATAGTAGTAATTGGCTCTTGTAGAGCTCTCAATTAATTTTGTACTACCACATATTCATCAACATCTACATGATGAATATCTCTTTCAAGGAGAAAGTTATACCATTATGGTCATGGCCAAAATCATTATAGGCAATATGTTGCTTCTATTACTTTTGTCATGTAATAATCGCATTGCCATAATATTTTGGCTAATTACAATAGGTGCATGATCAATGATCATTCATGCCATAATAATGAAATTATTTTCTTATTTCATCTCAAACCTCATCTTAGAGGTGAGTGTGATATATTCACTACCATTAGCATGTTCATATTTTTCCAAGAATGAATATGTATTCATAAATCACATGTGGACACATTCACATCATGAATGGACTATATTCATCTATATGTGCTTTACGAAATCTCATGTCAAATTGATGACAAACATTAATTTCACAGAGTGAAGGCTTATTTTGAGAATCCTTATTATTCTCATTACCACAATGATGACGATTATAATTTCGTCTATTGCCACATCCATACCCATTGATACCTTCACGGTAATAATTTTGTCTTCTTTCAGACTTATTACATATTACTACCACATTCTCTTAAGGGAATGAGAATGAAGCAAATTCAATGAGACGGATTTTCACTTTTTGTGCTCATAATCATACATGAATTTGATCATGGCAAGACATAGATATTTTACCACTTCGATGGTTATAATTTCTTACAAACTCTATTAGAGTTATAATCACAATTTATTGTCTTTGCTTTTATACAATTGACAATCATTATGCTCAATCCCAAAGCTTCTATTTAATTGGTTAGAGTCTCGTACTGATAACGTGTTATGAAACAATAAAAGAAGAAGAAGAGTATTGCAGAGAAAAGTAGAGAGAGAATTCTTGTTGATTTGGAGTCATTTACAATGGAATAGAACTTCTCTATTTATAGGGAAAAAGTGACTTAGCCACCAAGTAACAAACCCTAAAATCTCTCTAAAATATAGACATTCACCTTAAATAGAATTCTATTTGTAATACCTTTTTATTTTTTGAATAACTTATGCCAATTAACAAATTAGGCGAGATTTTTGCTTCTGCTTACATATACACAAGCCACACTTTTAGTTTTACGTACCTGATCAAATCTAAATTTGCGTGAATTTATATTTCCCAATTAATTAATGTGCGTTGGACCTAATAACCAATCATCATTTTAGTGAAGGTGATCTTTTAAATAACTTCTGGTAATCACTTATATTATTTATGAAATATCAATTAATCCACAACAAATAATTCTTATAGTTTAGAATCTGCCAAGCTGATCTATAGATTATTTTCTTGTATTTATCTTCTTTTATTTTTTTTGCTTGAACTCAATAATTAAAAGAAACAGATTGTTGCCGCAAGAAGAAACTAACCTACGGATACCAATCGAGACAAAATTACCATAGAACTATTTATTTAACATTTAATATTTTAAATCAACTAAAATTTTACATATTTATATTTTCTTATTTGAATTATTTAGGAAGATCCATCATTCAGAACTTAAAAAAATCAATTAAAATAGCTTATATAAATTATTTTCTTGTTTGACCAACTTTTTTATCTAATAAACAATTAATTAAGCTACAAGCATAGCATGTAAACTTGTGACTATAATTAATATTTAATAAATATAATTGGAACTTTCAGATAACGATAATTTTTGACATTTTGTTCTCCTATAATATTGAAAAAGTTTCCTTGTCACTGTGAACTCTTACAATTTCAAGACTATCTATTGGTAGATTCCATCTAGGATTGGTAAAGGTGGTAAAAAAGAGGTTTAAACTTTAATGAAAAAGAACTCGGGCAAACTTTCTACACGAAAAAAAGGTCCACTTAAATTACCTATAATTTTGATAAATTGTAGATGACAACTAAGATTTTTATGCACTTAAGTCACAAAAAAAACAAATTCAATCACCATGTTGAAAGATCTATAAATATCAAAGATAAAAAAAAATAGCTAAGATAAGAATCCAAACAAGAAAGAAAAACAGAGCACGTTTCTAGTTTTACCAGTCACTTTTGTAATACTTGGAAAAGTGAATTAATTTATGAAAAGTAGTTCTACTTCTTTTTTCTACCTACGTCATTCATTTTAGAATCTTGACAAATTAAGATTAGATATTATTTTTTATTTTTCAGGAGAATGCAAATTATTTCTCCATAATTAGAATTAAGCAAGAAGTTATTTATCGATTCCTTACCGGATAATTCGGAAAAGAATTTTACGCCATGTTTATTTATATAACTAATTTGACTAAATTGATCATCATGCTCAAAAATATTGAACTTAGCAATCGTTTCAATGTAATAACATTTTTTCATCATTTATATAAAATTTGCATTTACTTTAACATCAACTATTATTTTTTCAAAAATCTATTCTTTCGTATATATTATTTATTGATTGATGCAGTATACACGCGCAACGCGCGTACACTAATACTATATATATATATGTGTGTGTGTGTATTTTCACTTTATTTTGCCTAAAGTAAGATTTAGAGCATGTTTGGCTAAACTCAAACAATTTACTTATTTTAAAAATAATTTTCAAAAGAGTACTTTGGAGATGCAACAATTTGTATTCGGGTCATACATTTAAAAATCACTTTTGTTAGTTTAAGATTTGTGAAATGAAAGAGTTCGGAAGATGATGAAAAAATAAGTTAATGCGAAGGAGAACGAAGAGTGTTTTAACGGCTTGTTTCTCATTAGAAATTAATAAGGATAGTTTTGTATATAACAATTAGTGATAAGATATTTTTATCATGAAAAAATTAATTTTTTGCCTCTATTTTTGTTTCTGTTTTTAGGAAGAAACTAAAATTTATAACTTTTGCACAAAAGCAAAAAATTATTTTTGTTACTACTCAAAAATACTTTTGTGTTTGAGACAAAAGCATTAAATTTTCAAAAAAGTAATTTTCGTAAAGAACAAAGTATTCCTCAAAACCTTAGCCAAACATGCTATTAGATTCGCAGGCAATTTAGGCTATTAATAATAATGAGTTTAGTACAAAAATCAAAGACTATACAGTCTGACCACTCTATAACAATATTGTTGGTTCTTATATTTTTTAGCTTGTAGAGGATAAAATCGGTTCATATTAAATACTCGTATAATAGAGTGACACGTGGAACCGGAGACAGACGGAAAGCAAAACAAGTGAAAACCAAGGCCGGGGCAGCAGCTTCGGTTGACACCAGGAAGACCCCGAAGGGAATATTGCTAATGAAGACAAAACAGTTCCCACCCGATAGCATTCAATGAAGAATATTCTACAGTTTTAAATATACAGTCCGGTTATAGAGAATTTTGGCATTCATAGCTTGCCGTTACACATTCATCAATGGCCCACATAATTGTCATTTAAGAGGGTCTTGATCCTAGTACCTTGTTCCCTAGGTGCAGCTATAAATAACGACTTCAACAGCCATTGCAAAGGACACGAATTTTCTAACAAACTTATGATACACATTATTCTAAGCTCAATAATACTTTATTTCTCGTCTATTGACATTCTTATTATTGCTTTTGAAAGCTCTGCTCGTAGAACCAAGCTATCTCCTGTCTTATCTCGAAACGCTAAGTCTTGTATTTTTGTTTAATTTATTTATCATTTTGGGATCATATCGATTCACTTGTCTATAAACCATATACAAATTCAACTATATCATTTTACGGGTAAATAATTTGGCACCCATTGTGGAGCTTAGACAGCTGCACAATTGAGTTGATCCTTGTATTTATTACTAACTATTTAATTCGTTGTTTCTTAGAAAAAACTCGTAAGAAAATGGCGGATAATGATATCAACATTACACACAATATTGAGGCACAAGGAAATACGCCTCGACACGAAGATTTGATCAGTGATACACACAACGAGGAAGATGTATCCACGTCGGTCCATGGCGTATATTACACATTCGAGAGGCAACTCCTGATGATGCTGGAGATGAACACGTTGCGGAAATAGTGAGAATCTTGAGGGAACAACAAAAGGTCATTATAGACTATCTCTCGCAACAAGATCAGATCATGACAGAGTTGAGGCAAGCGTTGTCGGGTGCTTCCAACAACACGAATGGAAGAGGTCCAGTTCCTCCCAGTACTCCTGCAAACCAAACAACACAAAGGGTTGATAACAACACCCGAGAGGCGAGGTCGGCTTCGATAGGGCCGGGGGGAACGACAATAGATGTGGTAACAGTAACGGGAACTATCCATTTAAAATCGAACTCATGCAGTTTATGAGGGAAATAAATGCCAGAATGGATTAAATCTTGGGCGCACCGCCAGTGTTGAAAGGACAAGACTCAAAGAATAACACCCAGTTGTCGTTCAAATCAAGCGTGATATCGGAGTTAATCCCGAAGCGGTTTAAAATGCCAGATGTGCCAAAATATAATAGGACTTTGGATCCTCAGGAGCACATCACCGCTTATACAATAACGGTGAAAGGAAATAACTTAGCTCCGCATGAGATTGAGTCAGTCTTGCTGAAAAAGTTCGGCGAGGCCCTCACGAAGGGGGCCCTGACATGGAATTCACTTCACCCGAGCACTCATTATATTCCTTCGAGATGCTCGCAGATTCTTTTATCAAGGCCCATGCCGGGGATAAGAAGGTGCAGGCCCGAAAGGTCGATATATTCAGAATTGCACAAGGAGAGTCCGAACTGCTACGAGAGTTCGTGACCAGATTTCAGAAGAAAAGGATGCTACTACTGGTCGTTCCAGATGAATGGACAGCTGAGGAATTCACTAAGGGGTTGAACCTAAGGAGCTCTGACACTTCCCGAAAACTGAAAGAAAGTCTTCTTGAGTTCCAGAAAACATGGGTGGATGTCAACAACCACTATGAATCGAAGATAAGAATAGAGGATGACCAGCTCAGTTTTCCTGCATCAATCAAGGGTCGCGACCGAGAGAAGAATAAGGAAAAGTTGAAGGATGATTTCGACGCAGATCGATGGTCTTCTAGAGGTTGGTTTTTTCCCTATGAAAGGGCCGAAGGACTCGGCAGAGGTTTCCGGTCAACAAATAGGTTCATTACCATATGAGAGCTGATCGTGGCCAGAATAACAGATCGTTGCAGGATAAAGAGACGTCAAGTTCCCGAGACTCCACCTACCCCTAGACTATCCGAGTACAATTTCAACATCAGCGTGATGGAACTGGTATCGACAATAAGGAACATTAAGGAAGCACGGTTCCCGAGGTTGAAAAGATCCGACCCTAGTCAGAGGGATCCTAACATATGGTATGAGTATTATGGGACCAACAACCATCGGATTGGGGACTGTCAGCATCTGTTCGAGGAGATAGCGACATTGCTGAAAAATGGCCATTTCATAGAGTTCTTAAGAGACCAGGCTAAGAACAACTACGGTCTCAACTAGGATAACGCATAACCCTCAAAGATGGGAGAAGATCCTCCTCGTCTAACAATCAACATGATTTTTAGAGGGAATGAGATTACTAGAGTAACCTTCTCAGCCACAAAAAAGATGAATGTATCGATGACCCATAGCAAAAGACTCTGGGAAGTCGTCGAGGACGATATCACCTTCACGGAAGAGGACATCGATGGACTCCTACCACTGTACAATGATTCCCTAGTAATTTCTCTTAATATTTAAATTTTAAAATTAAAGTTGTTTTAGTAGACCCAGCGAGTTCAGTCAATATTATCCAATGAGAGTGTTGGAACAAGCCAAGCTAACTGGAAGCATCATTCCAGCCACAAAGCTCCTCACCGGGTTCGACTTAGCAAGCATGACAACCCGCGGGGAGATTCTACTGCCCATGAATGCCGAATGGGTAATGAGGCCGACCATGTTTGAAGTAGTAGACGGTGAGATGAAGGTTGTACCATCAACAAACCATCAACTTTTGAAATTCCCAACTCTAGAAGAATTAAACAAATAAGAGGATATCAACCGGCGGAAAAGAAGATTAACACAATCTCGGTTTACAGTACAAAGGGAATGAACATGTGGCATAGCAATTACAAGAACCGATGACTTCTCCCGAGCCAAATGAAGTCGACAGAGAAAGGGAGTTGTTGGAGTCCTATTAGGTACCAAGGTATTTCCAGGAACCAGAAGAAACAGACGCAACTAAATCCATGGCGAAAGAACTCTAACAAGTCGCATTGTTCGCGAAATTCTTGGAAAGGAAATTCCACTTAGAGACAGGACTAAACCCCGAGCTTAGGTCAGGATTTATAAAATTTCTTAAATTTAATGTTGATTGTTTTTCGTGGTCGCATGCGGATATGACAGGTATCCCACTATAGGTGGTCGTGCACAAGTCAATCATGTATCCCAACATCTCTCCGGAAAGGTAGAAGAAATGCCCTATTGCTGAGGTTAGAAACAGGTTTGTCAAAGAAAATGTAACTCTATTGCTTGATATCGATTCAATCCAGGAGGTAAAATATCCTAACTGGCTAGCTAATGTAGTAGTAGTCCCAAAAAGGAATAATAAATTTCGCATGTGCATAGATTATAAGGATCTGAATAAGGCGTGACAAAAAGACTCATTCTCATTGCCAAACATTGATCAAATGATTGATGCGACGGCCAGACATGAGTTAATGAGTTTCCTCGATGCCTATTCTAGGTACAACCAAATCAAAATGAATCCGGAGGATCAGGAAAAAAACTCCGTTCATAACAAACTTTGGCACATATTGCTACAATGTGATGCCTTTCGGGCTTAAGAACGCCGGAGCCACTTATTAGAGGCTTGTGAACAAAATGTTTGAAAAACAAATAGGGAAAATAATGGATGTTTATATAGATAATATGCTGGTTAAGTCTTTGAACGCAGGTAATCATCTTAGGCACATCCAAGAAACCTTTGATATCCTAAGGAAGCACAACATGAAGCTTAACCCCGAAAAATATGCATTCTGAGTCAGCTCCGGTAAGTTCTTGAGGTTCCTGTTGTTCCAAAGGGGGATCGAAGTCAATCCCAATAAAATTAAAGCTATCGAGGACATTCCTAACTAGCTATCAAATATGAAAGAGGTCAAGAGGTTAACGGGGAGACTGGCCACTTTAAGTGGGTTCATTTCCCAGTCTTCAGAAAAATGTCATCACTTATTCTCACTTCTAAAAAAGAAGAACAACTTCGAATGGACTACAGAATGCCAGTAGGATTTGAAAGATTTGAAAAGGTATTTATCGAGACCTTCGGTAATATCGAAGCCGGAGGAAGGCGAACAATTGCTGATTTACTTAGCGGTCTCAGAGGTAGTGGTAAGTGTTGTTTAAGTCTGTGATGAAGGAGGTACGCAATCTATTATCTATTATGTTAGTAAAATTTTAACATGAGAGGAAACTCGCTAAACACACCTCGAAAATTGGTCTTAGCTCTCATAGTCGCCGCTCGAAATCTTAAGCCTTATTTTCAATGTCAACCGATAGCCGTGGTGACAACCTTTCCTCTACGAAATATCCTTCACAAGCCTGAACTTTCTAGTTGACTGGTCAAATGGGCAGTCGAAATGAGTGAATTTGACATAGAGTATAAACCCAGGACTACGATCAAGTAACTCATTTTGGCCGACTTTCTGGCCGATTTCAGCCCCGGGCTGCTGCCTTTGCCACTAAGGAAGCAGTGATGGTTTTAGAATCAATATTGGGAGTCTGGACCTTGTTCACGGATGGAGCTTCCAACGTGAAAGGGTCCGGGATCGGGGTAGTACTAATCACGCCCTTGGGAGAAATCCTGAGGCAGGCCATATGGATTTTTCCCTTGACTAACACTGAAGCCGAGTATGAGGCTTTGATTACAGGACTTGAGCTGGCCCCGGGACTAGATTTTAAGGTCATAGAATCAAATGTGATTCCCTACTGGTAGTGTTGATACCCAATTTTTCCCTATGTATTTTTATACTCAAAATACTTTCAAAATAGCATATGTATGCATATACAAGCACGTTCAAAGGCTTTGGTATTTTTCCAAATTTTTAAAGATTTTTAAAACCAATTTATGGCCTATTTTGCACTATAAAAAAAAACAATAATTATTCCCAAAAGACTTGTCATTTTGGAGAATAATTTATTTTATTCTCGCATTTACACAAAATATAATTTACATGATTTTTTCATAATTTTACAAGTCCATTTGGTATTTTTAAACTAAA